CTTTAAGGGCATGCCCACATTTTGTTTTGTTTTGTAGATGGGTTCTCCTGGTGGTCTGGAAATTGCCAAGCAGGGTAGGATGGCCAGACAGCAAGATGAAGGGGTTCACCTGTCTTTACTATTCAGCTGTGCAATTACAAGTGCATGCCACCACACCTGACTTTCATAGAGTAGTTTCTTGGGATTGAACTCAGGTTCTCATGTTGTGTAGTAAGTACTTTATTGACTGAGCTATCTCTCCAGGCCTGCTTTTTTTTTTTTTTTTTTTTTTTTTTGAGATTTTTCATAGGCACTAAGGTATACACGTCAATGTGGAACTCGCTTCTTTGCAGTATTTTAATTTTTCTATCAATGAACATATATTACCATTTAAGTTTTCTTTAATATCTTCAATAAAGTTTTACAGATTTCTCTTTTGAATATTTTATTATTTTTATTTTATGTGTATGAGTGTATTGCCTGATGCATGCAAGTGCACCCATGTCATGCAATGCCCAAGGAAGTCAAAAGAAGATGTTGTATCCTCTGGAACAGGAGGTACAAGTGTTTGGTAGCTGCCATGTGGGTGCTGGGAATCAAACCTGAGTCCTCTGCAAGAGCAGTCAATGCTTTTAACTGCTGAGTCATCTCTCCAGCCCTGAGTTTAACAGATTTCTTGTAATGAACTGCTGCATCTTTGGCTATATACATTACAATAAATCAATAATTTTTTATTCTACTATATGTACTTCTTGTGGTGCTGAGGAATGCACTTAGGGACACATTGCTTGGAAAGCTCTCCACTACTCAGCAACACCTCCAGCCTTCTATTTCTTTTAAGTTCTACTTTTATATGTTCCCTATTTGGGAGAACTTGTCCTGTTTTCCTCTATGGTCATCTATAGGAAAATGCATATTTTTAGCAGAACACATTTCTGTGCTGAATATAATTTGGTTCTATTTTTAAGCAAGAAGGGAAAAGTTGACATTGACTAAGTAAGGATCTCAGAGATAATTAGAGAACCCTGCTAAAAGCTGTACTGATTGATCAATAAGGATGAAAAATTGCTAAGAATTATCAGCAATGAGTAGAACACTGTAGCATCATAGCAACAGAAATATGGCAGAGTATTTAAAAAGTCTTTCACTCCAATAACAAAACACGGAAAAACTTTGTGTATCTTTTTTTCTAAAGATATCTAGTTACTAAGTCAGAATTCTCACATAATACCATTATATATTAATTAAAATTTTTGTCCTTTGTAAACATTTAATTGTAATGAAAAAGACAAAGCACTTCTAATTTCAGATGTCAAAAGATATTTACATATCCACACTGCCGATGAACATGCCTTTCTAAGAGAAACATACAAAGAAGAGGGTAACTAATAAAGCAGCCCAGGAATAATACAAATGTACATAGTGTGGACTATAACAAAAACCTTAGTGAAATAGTGAACAAAATTATTATAGATTGAACACTAATACAGATTGATTTTTATAAATATTAAAAAGTCTGTAAACTACTACTGGCTCTGTTCCTTTAACGTTTTTAACACACTAAATAAATAGGATTCCCATTTGCTATGTGACTCCTAAATGGCACACGCAAGTGATCTATCTATAAATAACAAAACACTGCATTTATTTATATACATATTACCTTCAAAGTAATATAGAAAATAAATTAATTTTAACATGGTAGTATTAATATATGATACCTCAGTACATAAATGCCAAATAATAAGCAGGTCTGCTACCAGTCTTTCCCTCATTTGTGGTATATACTGTTGATTCATCATTGCACTCCCTTCTCCAAGCCTGGTATCAAAATCTTTCTCAGAGCTCTAGAAAGCCAACAGTCATCACCAGTCAGTTAACCTAGGCAAAGAAGATGGAGAATGCCATTCTTTCCTCAGTGGCTTCAAGAAAGATACTTAAATAAGGGAAGAATGACTATAGACAAAACAGAACTAGGGACACACAAGTGTAACGTATGGGGTTTAGAGTTTGTGTTCTGAACGAGGTATTTCATTCACACCATAGTGGAGTTTACAGACATAAATCAGATGCATGAAATAAAGAATAGATTTGGTTCATGTTCTATCACATCATAATTCTTTGTTAGTATACCATTACTAGGACTTGTCTGAGACATTTACCAAAATGAACTTAGCAATACTCTTATTTGCAGTGCCTTTTTTCTATTTTTCCTAACGCTTTTCTTTAATCATACCAAGTCAGTCATTCATTCTTCAGAATGTTTTTATATCAATCCTTTTCACTCAAACTTAAGTATTTATCAATTACATCTAATCTATTCCAATAGTTACTTGACTTGTTTCTCTAATCTCTCCCTATTTCAAATTGTCATGTTCAAAGGCACCATAGTAATCTTTCAAAAATAGTACATTTCACTTCTCCATACTAAACTGCACCACTGTACTCAAATCTTACTGAATCTTTATTATTACCCTTATTAACACTTGAAGGCTTATATGGAAGACACTGGACTATGTACCTTTTTAATGTTATTTAATATCAATACAAGTCTATAATGTAGCTAGTCTTTTCCCTCTTTGATTTATCTAATGTCTTTTTGAAAAATTATTATTTTATGTGTATAAGTGTATTGCCTACATGTGTAGTGCATCGTGTCATGCAATGTCTGAGTACGTCAGAAGAGGGTCTCAGATCCCCTGGAAATGGAGTTACAGACAGTTGTTAGTCACCATGGGGGTACTGGGAACCAAACCTGGTACAAGCAGCCAGTGTTCTTAACTGCTGAGCCATCTCTCCAGCCACTTGTCTAATATCTTAATTTGGGGTTACCTATGAGCTCCAAAGCAGACCTTGAGTGGAAGGTTGCTTAATAATAATGGGCCAAATTCCTCCACTGTATCTTTGCTGCAATTCCCTTCTAAAATGATCTCTGTTTCTCAATCCTCTTGAATCTGGGATGGCCAAGTGGTTTGCTTTGTCCCAGCCAATAGGCAGTACTGCCTGCCTGAAGAGTAAGGCCAGCTCCTTCCAGCTTGGCACAACAGTATACATTACTATCAAGAAGTAGTACTGGGGCTGGAGTTGTAGCTCAGTGGTACAGTTTGCTTAACATGACCAGGCCCTAGGTTCCAACCCCAGCACTGGAAAAAAAACTGAACTACGATTTTTAACCCAGTGTATTTTCTAGAAACCACATGTGAAATGACTAAGATGTGCTACTCCCCTATAGGGAATAATTTGATTCTTTATAATTGTGTAACTTCCAGATGATCCACAGTTACATATGGCATATTTTCTCACAGAAATAATGTTATGCATATAGTAAATTTAATTTCTCCAACTCATAAAGTCCTTGTACTATAGAACAGTCAAAAAGAGACACTCCTCCACCAAGATTACTTCTCACTACCAAAAGAAGATACTCTTTCTTCTATGACACAAAAGAGAAAGAACAGGCCTCCTGGTAATATAAGAATACTATTAAGTGACACATAAATCACCACTTTTTCTTCATTTAATCAGGTACCTCTTATACTCTGGAATTAACTTATTTCCTATATCAGTTCCACTCATTATTTGTTACCTATTTTTCTTCTGTTTCAATGTATAAGAGATTATCTGAGACAATTCTGGTGAAATTTAATTTGTCAATATTGGTTTCTAATTTCCCCAATAGGAACTTAAATTTATACAAAAATCCTATTTGCTATATTTTAAAATTAGCCTTTATTCATATAACTAAAGTTGATAAACCTAAACATTTCACATTTTAAAAAGGAAATGAAAACACTAAAACAGAATTTTTAGTATATTATAATTTGAAAAATGGGGTTGTTTTATTAAGCTACCTAGCATATGATTAGATAAGCTCTAAAACAGCAGTGATGAGAATGACTACTGAATACATAGAAATACTTTTTTTTGCCAATTTGCCATAATAAGTCTATAAAAGAACTTAAGTGAGCAGAAACTGAAGCAGGAATGGTTCTATTTTAAATAAATTATAATATTATTTTAAAAAGGATTTTATTTTAATTTATGTATATGTGTTTCTGTGTGAGTATGTGCATGTGAGTGCAGGTGCCCAAAGAGGCCAGAGGTGCAGATCCCCCAGGAGCTGCAGTTATAGGCAGTTAGAGTCACCCAATATGGTTGCTGAGAAATGTACTCAGGACCTCTGGAAGAGGCTCTTAACCGTTGAGGTATCTCTCCATCCCATACTATTCCTTAAATTTTTTATTTATTTTTTATATGTATATTTTGTCTGCATGTCTGTAAGTGCACCACACATGTGCAGTGCCTGTGGAGGCCAGAACAGGACATTGGATCCCTTCAAACTGGAGTTATGGATGGTGCTGGGAACTAAAACTGGGTCCTTTGCAAGTGCAGTAAGTGCTCTTAACTGATGAGCCATCTCTCCAGCCCCCAGCCCCCAATATTCTTAATTTTAAAATTTACTTCAGATTTTAAATACATTGGAACTTTTCATAACTATACATGAAATGGCTTGTAGATTATGTACTTAAAAATTATGAACAACAACAACAAAATTCTCATCAAAATGGATTCCCTTGGGGCTGGAGATGGTTCAGTGGCTGAGAGCACTGATGCTCTTCCAGAGGACCCAGGTTCGATTCCCAGCACGCACATGGTGGCTACAAACCATTTTTAACTCCAGTTCCAGGGGAATCCCAAGCCCTCTTCTGACCTCCGCGGCACTGCGTGACACAGGTGCACTCACATACATGCAGGCAATACACTCATACACATAAAATAAAAATAATAAAATATTTTAAAAAATTATTTCCCTCTCCCCATTCCACAGTCTAAATGTGTCTGTTTTATATTTAATTTACTCTGTAGGAAAGACTAGCTTCTCAAAATGCAAATAGCATTCTTCAGAGCAACAATATCACTGAGAAATAATTCACCAAAGGTTAAAAGATGATTTAGAGATGATTTAGAGATGGGCATAGAAATAAGGTGAAAAAAAAAAAAAACCAACTCTTAGAAAACTTGACACAAGTGATGAATGTCAAGGGACTTAATACTGAAACCTCATGTTGCTGTGCGATATGCTGATGTGCTTGAAAGAAAAGAAAACTTGAATAATACTATAGGCAGGAAGGAAGCTTACATTAATTAGAAACACTAGAAAGTGAACTCACAGCAATGGAACAGGACACACAAGCATTATGTAAGCTCAAAGCAGACAGAATCCCAACTCAGACATGGGGAAGTAGGTAAGAAACCCCAACCCTACTCAAGGAACTATTGGAAACTGATGGCTGTTGAGAAGGGGAGAGTCAGGTTTCTTTTTTTTTTTTTAAGGGTATGATTCTTGGTAGGTTAACCAGCCTCCAGTGGATAGACCCACACCAAAGGATATTTGAGGACACAAATTTGACTCTCTAGGCCATGTATATTTAGAGTATATGAAATTTGGTGGGGAATAGTAAGGAGGTGCAAATAGGGGAGGGGAGCTAAATATGATCAAAATATATTGTATGAAATTCACAGAAACTCAATATAAATAAAATTAAATTTAAAAAACACTAGAAATGGCAGGAAATACCACAAGGGAGATGATTATTAAAAAACCAGAGAGGGTCCTACGTTTATATTAAAAATCCTGACCTGATCATGTTATTATACTTATATTGCAATAATTTGTAATTTGTGCTCAGGGGATGTAAGTATTAATACAGAAGTGGTAATTGTTTCTGTCCTCATACCCCAAACTAAAAGAAGACTGGGAACGTAACCATATATAACTCTTAGCTTTTTCCATCTCCTGTCCTCATTCTCAGCCGACTGTCTCTACTTTCATCAAACGCACATGAAATAAACTCTTGTCTACCTGGTTGAAAACAAAAATTTCTTGACATATTCTTGTTTCAACATTTTGGTTTCTTTATTAAAATCTTAAAATAATCCCAATAACTCAATTTAAAGAGACTCAGTTATAATTAGAATCGTACATAGGCTATTCGTATGCCTAATCACAACTTTTGTCTTTATTTTTATTTTTTAGTTAAAAATAGGTGTTAACAATTAGTGACGTTTTCAGAGATGAGAATTACAAAAGAAGCAACATCAAGCAAAAATACATACTAAATTTATGCATTTTATTAATCCTGTTTAGTACAAGGATCATAATCTCTGCAAATAATCATTCTAATATTCCAGTCCTTAGACCTGTGTATCATCTGGCTAATTGCTGTAGCAGAACAATTAGTATAACAGCTCCCTACAAAATACAGATAAGTGTTTCTTCTAGAATTAAAAAAACCTATTATCATTATGTATGTATGTATGTGTGCATGTGTGTGCATGTGTACGCATTTGATAGCACATGTGGAGGTCAGAGAATGACTTCTGGGAGTTGGTTATCTCCTTCCACTGTGGATTCACTTGCGTAGCTACCCACTCAGCTATCTATCTTAGAGTAAGAAATGCCATCAGTATGAAGACTAACTCCAGGACACTACTACTGGTAAAACTGTGTCCTTAGTGTCAAGATTTCAAATATAAAACTGCAAGAGCCTGTGTTTATACTCAGAAAAACACTGTGTAAAGGTTAGCATTCCCCTTGATAAGGATGGAAGAGGCCCTGGGGCCTAAAAGCACACATACTATTAAAGCATTGCTAAATACTTTGTTTCAGACAGGTCTTATAACCCACATATTTAACCCCAGAACTTGGTAGGCAGAGGTAGGCAGATCTCTGTGAGTCAGAGGCCAACCTGGTCTACATAGTGAGTTCCAAGTCAGCCAGGGCTACATAGTGAGACCCTGTCTTAAAACAAAACAAAACAAAACAAAAACAAAACAAAAAAAAGAGAGACTTCAGAAAAATGTCACATGGTGACATAATCCCAGCACTTAGGAGGCAGAAGTAAGAGGACTATTGCAAGCTCAAAACAGTTAACTAGTTCTGTGAGTATAGACCTTCATCAACAAAACTACATATGCCTATTTGTATTTCATAACTGCTCTACTCTTCCAGTTTCCCCAAACTGCATAGTTACTATTCTGCTTATTTCTGTTAGTTGTAGAGCAAATAACTAATAATATTATTCACAAGAACAAAATTTTAATCCAGAGGAGCTATATTTGAAAATTGCAAACAAACAGCCACTCTTGGGAAGCCATACCTAAAGTCTCAGTCCAGGTACCTAGACATATGCTCGATGACACCTAAGACCTCAAACCTGAGGCTACCATAAATGAGGCAGAAATAGAAGTACTCTTAAGCAAGTCTACTCTGTCTCTGCCTGTCTTCCTCATTCATTCTCTCCTTCCTTCTCTTCTTTCTCCTACTTGTTTGTTTCTTTACGGAATCCACAATTCGTATAAACTATAAAAGTCACTTTGTTTACATCTGTATCAATACTCCTATGTAAGTTTCTAAGTGTGAAATTTTCTTGGGGAAAATAGGTTAAGTGGTTTTTTACATATAAGAGAGGGGTCAGTAATTGGGAACAATTGGGAATCAAAGAATGGACTATGGTAGGTAGTTACAAACGATGACCCCAATGTACCATGTCTCTCAGTATTCTTGTCCTAGTATAGTCCCTCCCATATTAAATTCCACATTCACTCACTTTAATCAATAAACTTAACACTTGCATTTGGGGGAGCCTGGAACACAATGTAAGAAGTGTGATTACTCTTCTAAAGAGATCAAGTGGAGAGATAACAGGGGAAAACAGACAAAACGGAGATGAAAGGAAGTCCGGCTACCAGCACCTGGAAGACTCCAGCTGATTTATCCCATTATTGTCTTACTACACTTACTAAGAAGCCTTAGGCAAGACTGGAGGAATTGCTGCTCTGGTAACCTACAGAATCATGAAGCTAACACCAAATGGCTTTAAACCTCTCTCTGTTTGGATTGGATTTTTCTGCAACAGATAACTAAACAAAAGGGATGTGCTACTCTGAAAGTGCAGCACAGAACAAATATCCACTTCTGGCCTTGGAATGAATTATACTAGTGGTTTTCCTAGCTTTCTAGCTGGCAGATGGCATAACCATGGTACTTCTTGGACTTCAAAATTTTATGAACAAACTCTTAAGCCAGTCTACTCTTTATGTCTCTGCCTGTCTTCCTCCTTCTTCCTTCCCTTCTTTCTCCTACCTGTCTGTTTCTTTACAGAATCCACAATTCATACAAACTATAAAAATTCTGTTTACATCTATATCGATATTCCTAGTTGTTTGTAAGTGTGAAATTTCAGTCACAAGAATAAATGTATCATTTTTAATTGCATTTCCTTGATGTGTTCTTTTTAACACAGTTTCAAGCCTTTTATGAAAGAGCTCTTCAAGTCTCATACTTTTTTTTTTTTTTGAGACAGGGTCTTCCCGTAGCCCTAGCAGACCTGGAATTCACTATGTGGACCAGGCCAGCCTTGATCTCACAGAGATCCACCTTCCTTTACCTCCTGAGTGCTGCAATTAAAGGCATGTAACTGCCAGGCCAGGCTGTAGTCTCATATATTTTTACTAACAAGTTTTATTTGGGTAAAATATATATGACTTGACATTTTAACCATCTAATAGCACACAATTCTGTTTATACTGACTTCTTAAAAGATCTATGTATTGGGGCTGGAGAGATGGCTCAGTGGTTAAGAGCACTGACTGCTCTTGCAGAGGGCCCAGGTTTGATTCCCAGCATCCACATGGCAGCTAACAACTGTCCATAATTCCAGTTCCAGGGTATTGGATGCCCTCTTCTGACCTCTGTGGGCATTGCATGACACAGATGCACTTACACATAGGCAAAACACTCATATACATGAAATAAAAATTATAAAATATATTTAAAAGGAACTATGGCAATAAAGGGGAAAAATTCTCCAGATACACAGTTAAAAAAAAAAAAAAAAAGACTTAAGCATAGAAGGAACCCTATGGGGATGAAAGAAAGCCCTCCAGAAGCAAGATGCTTGTTAAATGAAAATCCCAGTGCCAGAAGTGATTTGCCCCCCTTGAGCTTTTGGCCTGAGTAGCCCTGGAGGTCCCCAAAACAATAAAGGCTATTGCCAATAATGTTAGTTGTGCACTGGAAGTGGATGAAGGGACCCTACTGCTGAAGACACTGCTAGATGTGAGCACAGGAAAGGGAGAAATAAATCTTGGACTAAGCTAGAAACTCCCTGACACTAGATGGGTGGTTTTCATGGTGCCAAAAGGCAATATGCAGATGACTGAGAGAGAATCATCCCCTATAATTCTGCTCAACAACAGACTCCACATGCTACACTATCAACATACCAAACAAGATGTTCCTGCCAGTGCAATACTGGAGGGTCTAGTTTATGTACCGCTAACAAATTTTCAATGGGATAAAATTCCTGCTCCTAGGGGTGGAATACACATCTGGTACTGTAGACCAGACCAACCCCAGGCCCCAGTGGGAAGCCACTGCAATTGTTTTCTGAGATGGATGTGATGCACCTGCTAAAGTACCATTCAAATATTTGTGTTTACACAAATAGATTATTATAGCAGCCACTGTTTAGATGTTCTTGCTTCTTGCTGTTTGTGTTTTTATAGTAGATGGAATCCCACTGAAATGGACCAACAGCCCATGGAAAAAAAATGATTCAGAGACCTGAAAGTTCAGTGCCTTGCCACAATAGAAGGAAGATCATCCAACACCTACCATCCCCTCCAAGGCTCAGGGACTTCTTCAGAAGAGGTTGGCTGAAAGAATGTAAGAGCTGGGGGAAAGGGTGGAGTGTTAACTGGAAGTGTACTTCAACCACTATGGCAGCAAGCTATAGTCACACCACCTTCCCACACTCATCAAGTAGTTGAGGGGTAAGTCAGTTACCCCTCCCACTCAATCAGTTGGCCTTAGCAGCATGTCAGGGAGGGGCTAAAGTTATATAAGCCAAGAATGCCAGGAAGCACCTCTCCCACCATTTTCTGCAGCTATTGGAAAGTCACGGGATCTATATTTGAGTGTGGACTTTCCTGTGCAGCTGTAAATGGGGGGGTGGGGTGCCCACTCCTCTGTAAATAAACCCCCACCCTATGCTCTGTTAATACAAAAAAAAAGAAAATGATAGGT